TCGGCGCAGTAAACATAATCTCTATGTATTAGTCTTAGCCCGACATTGTTTGAGCGCAGATTTGGCTCCGATTCAATGGTGGGCGATGGGTTGGCCCAGCTCGAGTGGACCCTCGAGTGCAAAGGCGGCGGCGGCGACGGCGCCTACTCAGCGAAATGTGCTAATGCGGTAATGCGCCAGCCAGACCCCAACCCACTCACACCACCAACCCCCGCCCAGAACCTAGCCCAGCCTTGAGAGCGTGTTCTCACCATTGTGTTCCGGCGCCAATTTGGTGCCATAAATAACATTGTCCTGATTATAAGTGGAACACTCCCTTGCAAAGTTGGCGAACAGCGCATTTTGGGTCCAAAACTATTTGAATTTGAAATAGAGTAAATAATTTCAACATATTATTTAAACTTGTATTATAATCGCCTTTTATACCCTGCATCCATTGAAAATGGGTAAGAATGGGAATAATGTATTTATACAAAAGTATGTCACAGGCAGAAGGAAGCATCTTTTACCTTATAAAGTATATATATTCTTGTGCAGCATCAATAGCTGAGGCGTTCTAGCCAGACGAAGGAGAGGATCTTAGAATCTATAAGAGCTAGAAATTTAAAAGGTTTAGCTTAGTTCCTCTGATTAGATTACCTTAACCGAAACAAGAGTATTTAGTCAGAGGAGAGCTCAGACTAAAATGAATCTTTGACCTGACCCACAAAGATAATCACGTATCTCATGCTTGAAGGACTTTGGACTACGCATAGTCTTTCTAAATAAAATCAAATATTCAAATATTTAGATTTGCTTTGCTTAATTTCCATAGAACATTTCACACGGATCTAATTTATTTTGTGTTTGTGGGAACTGAGCTGTCTGTAAAGTTTCGGGAGTGCAGCAAATAATTAATGATATATGCATTTAAATTTCGTGGGCTTATTACAAAATGATTTAAATGCATTTAAGTGTAAATTAAAAAACGAGTTTTTCAATTCAACAACGCTTCACTGTTTTTTTTTTTTTTTTGCTAGACAGACGAATGGAACCCAAATTTGAAGCACTTTGCGGCTTGTCCGCGCATTTGACACATCACTCAAAGTGAAGTGCGCGAAGCGGCGATGAGGACATGGAGAAGTACATGAAAAAGGCAATGAAAAAAGATGTGATGCACTCAAAGCTGAAATGAATGAATGATGACACACGCAGCTAATTGTGCTGGGCAGCCAAAAATGATGATTTGATTTGGAAGTGGACGTGGACCTGGAAAAGGGATATCGCAATGATATTCGGCTATAAAACAGATCTTAAGCGTGACTGGATGCATTTTCGGGTGACAATCGCTCAATATTGCTTTTTTGACAGCTGTCAAATGCTTTTTTGGCTCGAACCTTACCTGGCCAAAGGGTGCTGTGTGCCATTCGCTGACTCGCCCAATTAACGATTGATCGATACACACACACACACACACACAGAGAGAGAGACACACACACATGCTGACAATTGCAATATCCATTTCAAGAGTTTGATTTTAATTTATAATTGCCCATCAATTGGCCAGAGGGAGTTTGCGGTCGTTTGTCCTTGGTCACAAGTGTCACCCCGCCAGGCAATCCAAAAGGTATATATATATATATATGTGTATATATCCCACACCCAACCCTCCGGCGGACACGCCGCATAGATTTTATTGTTATTGTCTGGTGGGCCTGAGGCTCGAGCCCGGCGGGGGTTGGAATATTGCCCAGTTCTCTGTCTCTCGACCACGGAGTGTCAATTATGCGCATTTCGAGTTGCGCTTTGTGAAAATTTACATTTTATTAGTTTTACATGCTCGAGGCATTAAAATTATTTACGATCCCAAATATTGTAGGTTGTAAATAATTTTTGGTCACGTACGAATCGGGTCAAAAATAATTAACTATAAAATGGAAATTCGCACATGTAACGGCCTTTGCCCTGACCTTTTGCCGCCAATTAGAGGCGCATTGTTTCCCATTCTATTCACGTCCAGCCCCTCCACTCCGCCCCGCTTAGAACAAATGGACATTCGAGTGGACACGCGCTCGACTCTAAATGTTTTCCAAGTCTGTTGCGATTTCGTAAATGTATCGACGGCAGTCGTTCAACTTTGCCACTTGGCTGATAAGAATTAAAAAAATTGTAAACTCTGGGCTCAAATAGATCTCGGCTAGGCGATGCCCTGCACTCAAACAATTCAATTGTTCCACAGCGCAAAAATTTATAAATAAATTAAATATTAAATCTATCTATCTGGTTAAGAAATGCAAAATTTAAAAGAACACATTTTAGGAAAAGCAAACATATATTTGGAAGATGCAATTTTTGGGTTCAAATCAAATCTAGCCCGTTTTTGTATATGAAAATATTTATAGCTTGCAATATTTTCAGTGCAAGGGGCGGCGGAAAACTCAAAGGTTTGAGCCAACATCTCGGCTCGTTCTTGATTGGTTCTAATCGTAAATCGTGGGCTTGCAGCCCTATTAAACATAACAGTACCACCTAATCATACCCCCCTTTAGGCAGATTTAATAGTTACAGGGTATACAACGTGTGCACATTTCAGCTCTTCGCAGAGTCTGCTAATCAGTTAATGTTTTCAGCTGGCTTTCGCAAGTCGTTTCGTTCCTCGAGAGAAATGGAAGTGTCAGGTATCAACTACTATGAGCACGTGCTGGACATACGCCGGGTTATAGAGGAGGCTCAGGTGCAGAACTGCGACGAGGCGCTCAACATATGCGATCTGTCCAGTGTGGAGCGCAAGTTCCGTCTGTGGCAACAGCAGCTGCCCCGCATCAAGCCCTACTATGCCGTCAAGTGCAACGACGATTCGCGGATTGTTCAAACTCTGGCCGGGCTGGGCGTGGGCTTCGATTGCGCCTCCAAAAATGAGCTCAAGCTGGTGCGTATATAGCTCGCCCGTATTTCTATATATTGGATTGTCTATATATTTGAATAGGTGCTGGACTGTGATGTGTCGCCCGAGCGCATCATCTTTGCCAATCCTTGTCGTCCCATCAGCCACCTGGACTACGCCAAGCAGCGCCAGGTGCTCAAGGGCACCGTGGACAATGAGTTTGAGATTTACAAGCTGCACAAGCATTATCCCAATTCCAAGTGAGCAATGCCTTATCTCTTGTTGAATCTCTCATATAATTGTGGGAATTTTTCTACAGTCTGATTGTTCGCTTCAAGTCGGAGGCAAAGGCCGCGCAGTGCCCGCTGGGCGATAAATTTGGTTGCGATGCGGACATTGATGCCTCGGCCTTGATGCTGCTGGCCAAAGCTTTGGATTTGACAGTGAGTCAGACAAACAGATTGTCGATAGCCAAAAACAAAAGAAAATTTGCTTTGGAAGCTTTCAGCAGAAACCAATGTATTAATTCAATTCACTTTAAGCTTAAAAGCTTTCCAAAACTCCTTAAGCACAGCTTTGCCTTAGCTATTGAAACTTTACTCTTAAAGCCTTTTCCCTTTTTGCTGGATTAATCCTTAACAAGAGCTTTAGAGCTTTTAGTCCAGGTAGCTCTAGCTAAACATTAAAGCTAAATTAGTATGATAAAGCTTTTTAAGCTAAAGATTGCTTTAAGCAAGATAAATTGTGTTAAGGGAGTGTAATTGAATTAATCAAAAGCTCTTGCTGGATTAATCCTTGTATTAAACCACTTTAAAAATATTTCAAAGCTAATATTATTGTGCTATGTATAATTATGCTTGTAGCTAAAAACCACTTTAGGCTAATGTCATTTTATATGATTTGAATCTTTGCTCAGGTAACAGGCACCAGCTTTCACGTTGGCTCCGGCTGCACTGAATTGGAGGCCTACGAGCGTGCCATCAAGAAGGCCAAAAACATATTCAAATTTGGCGAACTGTTGGGCTACGACCTGAAGCTATTGGATATTGGCGGTGGCTTTCCGGGCAGCGATGATGAACAGTTCGTAAAGGTAAAAGTGCTGCAAATTAAATAGAAACAAAAATATTAAACGAAACGAAAGTCCAGATAGCTGCCAATGTGAATCGCGCCGTACAGAGGCATTTTGCCGATGAACGCATTGAGATAATCGCCGAACCGGGTCGCTTCTTTGTGGCCGCCGCATATACACTGGTCTGCAAGATTCATGCCAAGCGCGAGGTGCGCAATGCGGCCGGCAAGCTGGACACTGTGATGTACTATCTGAACGATGGTGTCTACGGCTCCTTCAACTGCATACTCTACGACCATCAGCTGGTCACAGCGCAGCATTATCTGGTAAGTGTGAGAAATGTATATGAATAAATCTATATAATAATAAGAATTTTATATTTTAGGAGGGAGCCGAATCCTTGCCCACATTCAAGAGCCTGATCTGGGGTCCCAGCTGTGATGCGCTGGACAAAGTTAGTTTAACGTATATTAGCTATTTCTTTTTGTATTTAATTTAATTTATTTTATTTTGTTAAGATATCCGAGAATCTGCGTCTGCCCAACTTGAATCGTGGCGATCTGCTGGGCTTTCCGAATATGGGCGCCTATACGGTGCCCATAGCGAGCGCTTTTAATGGCTTTCCCCTGCCCAGGACCCTGTACTTTCGGGCCATATGACTAAAAGTTGTGGCATTTCAAATAAATACACTCGACATGTGTGTGTTAGTAACCAATATGATTTTTTATTCTTTATAATTGCTCGATGGGGAACACACAGTATGCCTGGATGGGATCCCCTGCACACTCTGTGCTCCGCAACGAAGACAACGGAACTGCTTCATGGATTCGGTTTTGCTTTTGTTTACGTATTTTGGCAATATTTTGAAAAGAACAGCTGAACAGCCGCAACTGACCCGAGTTGGGTTGCAGCGCATTCTTTTGAAAATATTTTGAATACTATTGAAATTGCTTTCGGGCATGGACGCCAGCTAACGGCTAACTGACCCAACCGAACTGGCGAACTGTGCCCAACAAAACGGGGTTTTTTTTTTTTTTTTTGGACAATAAAATGTAAATACAAAATAGCTTATGCACAATACTTAGCACGAAACAGGTATATGTATATGTGTATAACTTAGTTCAAATACAATTCAATAGAGGTACATAGAAACATACACAAACATCGTAAACAAAACAAGAAAACAATTTCAAAAATTGCATTTTTTTTTTGTGTTCTAAATTGTTGCACATGCTCAAAAGTAGTTGTAAAAAATGTTTTTTGTATTTTTTTTTTTGTTTGTTGCATTTTGCGAGTCAACCAATTATTGGCGCACTCCCGATATGTTGTGATATTACAATATATAGTATTGTATATGTATAATATATATATATAACGATTATGTATATAATAATTGATATCGTGTATATGCGGATGCTGCAACTGATCCGCCTAAACGCTTCTTGCTTCATGCTTCTCTCTTCTGCTTGCATATAAAGAGTACAAACTACTTATTTCATAATCAGTTCTTGGTGATTGATGCAAATGTTATTCTTCTTCCATTCGAACGCGTACAATTTCGTTTTTCATTTGTTACTTTTTTTTTTTGTGCTTTTTGTTTTTGTTTTAGGTAGATACATATATAAATAGCATTAGTATTTCTTTGGTAAATAATCGATAAATATTGCAAAAATTTCGACTAGGTTGCATGCCTTTTGATATGCTGCTTGGAAAAACTTGAATAGAAAAATGTAAAATAGAAAAAACCACAAAGAAATTGTTTATAATGATTGTATCTCACAACAGCGACGACAAGACGACGACGACGACACATAGTACTACACACAATAAATAGGTACATAGATATACACAATACACACAGAATTTGGTAGTAGTATGTGTAAGTATTTAAACTCTTGCTCTTTAAATTCTTTATAATTATGGTAGTAATAATAATAATAATGATAATAATATCGCTTAACTTGTAACAATTCACGGTTTCTGATATGTTTCGGTTTTTTGTTTGTTTTTTGTTTTTGTTGCTTTCAAAATTGAATCTCTTAACTTTTCACTTAAGTCTAAGCTACGTTTTTAATGCCTATCGATAACACGATTTATATCGATTTATACCGTTAACAATTAATGATCGATATATATTTTTTTATTTTCAATTTTCAACGGTTCTGCCTAAGTTTTAAGCAACGATGTCGGGCTACTGTCCACAGTGCGTATATGTTGTTTGTGTATTCTTTATGGAATTCATGATTTGTTTATCTTTACTTCTTTACTTCTTAACTTCTTTTTCTGTGTTTTTTTCTTTCTCTCGCGATTTCTGACACATTGGCATCAATATAATATCAATACAACAAGGTGGGTGTGTATCATTTGCATTTTGGGTATTCAGTTTCGATGGGGCACTTGCGGGTGATATTGCAGCTTGTTTTTTGGGGGCTGTTGTTGCTGTTGGTTGCGTGCATATTGAGTCTAACAATTGCCAGAGTTGCATAATTCACGGATTCACTATAATCTATAATAAAAAATACAATACAACAACACAGAAATGGTTTGTAGGCGTACAAAAGTGGTTTTTGGTATTTTAGTTTTGGTTTTGGTTTTGGTTTGGTTTTTGTTTTGGTTTTTAAGGGGGCATAAGTATCACTTCGTCTATGTCTGATGATGATGATCCATCATGAACACCCATACAATAATGTGTGTATATATATACATATATATACATACATATAAATATATATATATATATATAGATGAATATATATACATGTATATGGATAACTAAACGGAAAAACGGATGTGAATGCAATTGATACGATTGCGTATGCTGCTTGGAGTTGCATATTAAACGCTACTCAGAAATGCCACACTACACATGGCTATTTGGGCCAAAATGTTCACTTGCAGTATCCGCATGAGACCGCCGCTGGTGGGTGAAGGACTCACATTGAGGCCAGCGCAGTGCATCTTCTCGGTGGGCATCGCTTGCACAAAGTACTCGCGATTATCCAGCGACATGTGACACAATGGCTTCTTCTTTTGTGACATTTCATCGTCCTTGTTCTTCAGATCCTCCAACAGCTTGGGGAACCAGGTCAATTCGCACGAACAGTTCAACGGATTGTCTGCACAAAGATATATATGTATCAATTAAAGATTCTATATAGTCTATGATTACAACACTTGCCAGTAATGTCAATTATGCGTAACGTATCGATGACTGGTTCCATTGTATCTTGTGGTATTCGCTGCAACTTGTTATTCTGCAGATTCAACGTTTCCAGCGAGTTGAGATTCTCGAATAGAGTGCTGGGCAGAACTTTGATGCTACAAATTGAAATGTGTGAGAGACGTTAGTTTGGAACTCTTTTCGTTTTTTGCTAGCTATTGCGTGCTTTACTCATTCTTCTGCAAATTGAGAAACGTCAGCGAATCGCCGTATCCGGTAAAAGCATCATCGGCCAGCACATTGATATTGTTGTTCCGCAAATCCAAATGGCGCAGACGATGCAACGGACGCAGTGCCTCGCTGGGTATGGCGTTAATATTATTATCGCCCAGACGCAAGTACTGAAGATTCTCTGTAAATTTGTTAGCCGACATTATGTGAGCCTTTTGGGAGGACGCTTCGCTTCAGCTTACCCTCAAGACCCCTAAACGCATCCTTATCAATCACGCTAATCTTATTGCCCTCCAGTTCCAGCGAGTTGAGTAGGCTTAAGTGGGAGAATACATTTGCAGGTACGGTTGTGATCATATTATGCGCTAATATCAAAGAATCCAAATTCTGTAGACCTGTCAAGGAGTCGCTCAACTTTAGAAGCTAATGTTAATGGAAATTTACAGCAGCCTTACCTTCAAAATCGCCCTCACTGATCGTACGTATCTTGTTCTCCTGTATCTCGAGTTTCTTCAGTGTATCCAATATGGAGAGCGCCTTTTGCGGCACATTCGAGAGATCGTTGCCACCCAGATTCAAACGTTTTAGTTTTCTGCAAATTCAATACAAAATTAGTCCTTAAATTCAGTTAAGCTTAATGTTATTTACTTCTCCAGGCCACGGAATGCTTCGGGATCGATCTGTGTTATTTTGTTCTCATAGAGCGTAAGTATCTCCAGGGTGTCCAGCCCTTCGAAGGCATTGTTATGTATGACGGTGATTTTATTGTGATTCAAGTTCAAAATTAACAAGTGATACAGATGTTGCAGCGCCTGTAACATACGAATATTTTCTTTAATTTATAATATTCAGATTAAATATAAAATTAAAAAATTGTTAAATAAACTGAGTAGTAAACCCTTTTAAAGTTCGATTTTTTGAATAATTTTTAAAGTGACATTATTTAGTCTTATGAGATCTTATGAGAAAGAATATGTCGGAATCTAAATATTATATCTAAAATATATATTCATTCAAATTGGAATTAAAAGGTGAATAGTACAAATACCATATAAATTTGCATAAGTCGATTTAAAACAGACTTTTTATGTACGAGTCGCATACTTGTTTTCTCCCTTAAAGCTATTTGAATAAATGACAAAATGGCCGCCAAGGATGGCCGCTGGGCATTTAAAAGTTATCGATAACTTAATCGACATATGTATGCCGATATAAATGTGTTTCGGTATTTTAGTGAGATCAGTTTGCCGATAGTCAAGCGGTATTAAATACAAAAAGCAGAACTGACCTGCGACGGCACAGTTTTCATCTGGTTCAGTGACACGTCCAGCTGTGTGAGTCCATTGCCTACGAAATGGAAATGATAATTATATTGGATAATTCTGATGATTGAGGCAACACTCACCCAGCGAGCTCAATGCATTCTCCTCGATGGCCGCCAGGCTGCTGTTGTGTATTGTCAAATGGCGTATGTCCAGAGCCAGAAATACGAAACCCTGCAGCTTGGGCAGATTATTGTGGCGGAGCTTCAAATAGAATATGATCGGACTTTTGCCCTTCAAGGTGCCCATCGATTTGGTGATATGCACCAGATCCGTGGCCTCGCACAGTATATCCAGTCCGTTCTTCTTCACCGTGCATATGCAGGGCGAGATATCGCCCTGCTCTGGGCACACTTGTTGCGGTGTGCCTTGGGCGAGTGTCTGGACCAAAAACAACAGCAGACATCCAATGGCGCCCGCTGTATGCGTGTAGTGGACAATCAGTTGCCTTTGTGCTGCCATCTTGACACTCACACTCACACACACTCACGCACACGCACACACGCACACCTTAGCTGAGCTCTACTAGATGTCCGTTAGAAAAGATTGCCCTGTTGTCGCCGCTGTCGCCGCTGTTGTCGTTCTGAGATTCTCTGATGATGCTATTTACAATTGTGTTCCTGTTAAGAGCATATAAAAGTAGATAGAAGAGTCGGTTACGGCTGCAGCGTATTCAAAATCAGCTTGAAATGGAAACGAAAAGCCACAGCGAAAAGCGAATTACAAATTAAGCGCACAATGCGCCATTTTATATCTATGTGTTTGTGTGTATATATGTGTGTATGTATGGCTGTGTGTGTGTGTGTTTGGCGGATTAAAAATAAATTGAACTAATTGAGCAGCTCTTTACGTACAGTCGTTGTTGCTGCAGCTGTTTTCTCTGCGTCCGAGTTACGCATGAAAATGCCAACAAAATGAATGAAAAGCAAAGAACGAACATTGATTGTGGGCTCACCTGAAATGTTTGTCCGTCCCTATTTAATTAGTGCCAAATAAAACATGCTTCTTATTGCGATGCGATGTATTGCGATGTATGTATGTATGCGTGTATGTGTGGGCTTTCAGAGCAGAGCTTCCACCGATAAGCAACAATTAACCATTGCCCGCTGTCACTGTGCTTTAACGGACCAAGAAGCACACACACACATTGAGAAACAAAGACGAGCACCCCCTACCCAACACCTGCTGGGTGTGTGTGCGCGGGGTGGTTGGATGTGTGGCCTGTGGCTTCAAGAGGGGCGTGTGCTTGCGCGCGGCGTATTGTGTAAACTCGGTCAGAGTGTGTGTATAACGATGTAACGGAAAATCGATATCATTCAAAAAATGTTGTCGACCTAGCCTTCTCCTTCTATTATTATTATTACTATTATTATAAGTTGTTAAAAACGTTGGCTTTTACTATTGTTATTTTGTATTAATTATAATAACTAATTGCACATAGTTGTGTAAACTTTGTTAGACGCTGCAAGCTTATTTCAATTGCTGTCGCATTGAGACGACATTTTAATTTTTGCGTCTATTTGGATTTGGTTGTGGCAATGCTTAAGGTTTTTATTTGTATTATTTATTGTACATTTTTCGCTGCCGCGCGCCGACACACGCATTGGATGGGTGTATGTATTTGCGTATATGGGGAAAAATAGTACAAACAGCGCGTGTAAGAAGCACGTTTACTTGGCAAAACCGACGACTGCGGACTGAAATTCAATTTTTAAAATTGAATGTCTGCCGTTTCATTTGGGGGTTGTTGATTCGTCGTTAGTTGCTTCCACAGTGTTGGTAACCGACCGAAAATGGCGTTGCCACCCCTTTATGCGATATGGTCACCCTACATATACGTTACGAATCGATTTAATAATCGAATTGCAGCTCTGTGCTCGATTAGGCGCCTATTTAAATTCAAATTTGAAAATGTTAACAAAACTGTTAAGGGGCTGGCAACAAAATATTTGTGAAAATGGGTCGTGTCTGAAATGAATAGTGTTTGCATTTAATATATTCAATAGACTCTGAAGGAACATAAAACCGATTTATATAATACGGTTTTAAAGGATCAGATTTTTCTGACAATTTCTGCATAGTTATAGCAGGCTTTTACAAACTTTAAGAACTAAACACATGTTATAAAAAAAATATGTAAAAAGAATCATAGCAGCAAAGTTCATTCAGTCGGGCAAACCAAATTATCGAAGTTTTTTTTTTTTTATTTATATTATATTTAATATTATCCTTTTCCAAAAATGGGTAAATGTGATAAGGAGTTAATTATAAAACTTTTGTGCGAATTTCTTGCCAGCTTCTTTGTACAATTTATTGGCTGCACTCTTACCGAGGAAACCGTCTTAGGTATCTCATTGCCTACAACGGGCTCATTTCCCTATGCAATGAGCTGGGGCGGAAGTGTCCTTGCGGCGACACAAGCATTCCGGATAGTGTCTGGTGCACACATAAATCCGTGTATTTCCATTGCATCCATGATACTCGAGAACGTAGGCATTCTCGATGGCATGCTTTATATACTTATGCAACTTATCGGATCAGCCTTGGGCTTCGGTCTCTCATTTGGCATATTCTATGATTCGAAATTCAAAAACAAGAAATTTTGCTGTACTGCGATAACGCTGGATCCTTGGTGGAAAGCGATACTGTTGGAATTTTATATGACCGGAGCCTGGGTATTTGCCATGTGCGCTTCATGGCATGAAAGCAACGAGATGATGTTGGAGTCCATTTCGCTACGGATTGGATTGGTCGTCGTTGCTGCCACCTATGTTGGAGTAAGATTCGCAATGAAATGAAATTCAAAGCAATTTATATAATTCTTCTATGTGATTTGCTGCATTTGCCAGGCCAATTTCACGCGATCCTGCATGAGTCCATTCAGATCCCTCTGGCCAGCAATAGCTGCAGGTGAATACAAGCACATCTACGTCTATGTGGCTGTGCCTCCACTCACGGCTATTCTGCTGGCGGTAGCCTGGCGATTTCTCTATCTGCAAGGCAAATCCGAGACTGTCAAGCCTGAAGGAGGTGGTGACTAAGGGGAACGGATTTCTCTCCACAATGTGGAAAAGAAACACAAGAGTAACCAAAAGTCAAATGCAAATTTTTTCTGAACTCTTCAAAACTGAAGAACAATATATCAATATGTGTATGTGTCTATCCCATTGTCAGTAACATAATACAATATGACAATAAAATAATACATTTTTTCGAAGTGGGAAGCGAAAATATTCATGGTGATGATATATAGACAATCGACTATCGACAAGCCCCGCCTACCCCTATTAACAAAAGCCACAATTGTAATTGGTATGGTCTTTTTGAAGATTCTAGTGCTGAACATTTCATCGGTCTAAATTGATTTAGTTATCTAGTTTTACCATGATACCGAATGCCAATAAAATTCACTCTGTCAAATCCGTCATTCGATCGAATTCATAGAATATGTAATTTTGCTAAAATCCTGGTAAATTACATTATAATATAATAATAGGAATTATTTTTTAAAAGAATTAGCTGACAGCTACAGCAGAAAACTATTTTAATGCGGCTTTTTTCAAACGCCCGATAACAGCGATAAATGATTACCGTTAATCCAATTAAAGAAGAAATGGAGCTGCCAGAGTTTTTTTTAACGAAATTTCCCTAGCTCTAACGTAAACGATATGAACTAATGCTCGATCGGTTCGTGAACCAGGCTTTGGGCGCGGGCCATTGAATATTTGAAACTTTTATGTAGAGTTTGTATTGTCTATATCTCTAGTAGGCTGAGGTCAATTTAAGCTTATGATTATGGCAGATCAGCTGGAGAAATACACAGTTAAATTCAAGTATTATTTCAAACCGGAGCACAATATTTCCTAATACAATAGTTTTTTTTTGTCACGTGTCACGGTACATATTTAAATCATGGGAAATTTTAAGTGGGACATGGAGCTTCTCAAAAAAGTGTTTGCTGAATTTACTGGAACCGCGATGATTCTAGCACTTGGTTGCACCGTTGACGGCACGCCAGATCCGATGAAATCGCTCGCCTGGGGCCTCATTTACTTGGCGGCCATTCACATATTCGCCTTCATGAGCGGCGCCCATCTGAATCCAGCTGTGAGTGCCGCTGCCACAATTGTCGGCGTCATGGAGTGGCAATTGATGCTCTGCTATATGCTTGCCCAATTACTGGGCGCTTTCTTTGGCGCTGGAATGGCCTTTGGTGTACAGCCAAATGGTGTCAAACAGTTCTGTGTGACTGTGCCCATCTTGAAGGATTACTTGTATCTGGGAGTTGAGTTTCTTGCAATGATGCTCTTGATGTTTGCCTATTGCGCGATCTGGGATAAGCGCAGTGATAATGCATACGACACGATGTCACTACGCATTGGATTCACAATTGCTACCTTGTCCTTTGCAACGGTAAATATAGAAGCTTAGAGCCAATATATGGATGCCAATCGATAGTAATGATCCTTTCGAGTCCAAAATGGTATAAAATTCCAAAATCGAATAATCTTTGGCCGAGAGATTCCTGAAAATTATCAAAAAAGATTGACTATATAAACGAATCGTTTTTTTGGTCAACAACTTTTTTGAACCCACCGATTTTCAATTTGTTTGAATGCCAATTGAAAATAGGGATCCGTACAAATTCAAAAAAGTATAACATTTCAATATCACACGATATTTACCCGAGATATTCCAAAAAAATTATCAAAAAAGTTTGGATTTTCGAGCCGAGCTCGATTTTGAGCAAAAACGTGATGTAACCCCTTGATTTTTGGTCGATTTCGGTCAAAATTTAGAGTTTAATATTTTTGATGCCAATTGATAGTTGTGATCCTAGCGAGTCGAAAATGGTATAAAATTTCAAAATCGGACATTTTTTGACCGAGATATTCCAAAAAATCATCAAAAAAGATTGACTATACAAACGAATCGTTTTTTTGGTCCACAACTTTTTGGAACCCACCGATTTTCACTTTGTTTGAATGCCAATTGAAAATAGGGATCCGTACAAATTCAAAAAAGTATAACATTTCAATATCACACGATATTTACCCGAGATATTCCAAAAAAATCATCAAAAAAGTTAGGATTTTCAAACCGGGCTCGATTTTGAGCAAAAAACGTGATGTAACCCCTTGATTTTTGGTCGATTTCGGTCAAAATTTAGAGTTTAATATTTTTGATGCCAATTGCTAGTTGTGATCCTAGCGAGTCGAAAATGGTATAAAATTTCAAAATCGGACATTTTTTGACCGAGATATTCCAAAAAATCATCAAAAAAGATTGACTATACAAACGAATCGTTTTTTTGGTCCACAACTTTTTGGAACCCACCGATTTTCACTTTGTTTGAATGCCAATTGAAAATAGGGATCCGTACAAATTCAAAAAAGTATAACATTTCAATATCACACGATATTTACCCGAGATATTCCAAAAAAATCATCAAAAAAGTTAGGATTTTCAAACCGGGCTCGATTTTGAGCAAAAAACGTGATGTAACCCCTTGATTTTTGGTCGATTTCGGTCAAAATTTAGAGTTTAATATTTTTGATGCCAATTGCTAGTTGTGATCCTAGCGAGTCGAAAATGGTATAAAATTTCAAAATCGGACATTTTTTGACCGAGATATTCCAAAAAATCATCAGAAAAGGTTGACTATATAAACGAATCGGTTTTTTGGTCCACAACTTTTTGGAACCCACCGATTTTCAATTTGTTTGATTGCCAATTGATAGGAATCCGTACGAATTCAAAATCAGACAATATTTCTCATCAGTTTGCCTAAAATTTGAATGGAACCAAGACCTGGCTTAGCTGTTCTTCTTTGTTTATGACTATGCCTGAAAATCGAATCAAACTAGTTAAAGGGAGGTCGTCGGTTCGAATCCAGCAGTAATTTTGAAAGGCCCAAACACCTGTCTTACTTTTACTTGACCCGGATATACACATATATAGATTTTTAAAATACCCACCCTATTTTATTCCGCAGATCAGTTTGGGCGGATGCAGTCTGAACTTCTTTCGCAGCCTAGCTCCAGCTTGCATAAGTCAACAGTTCAATGGCTTGTGGGTTTATTTTGTTGCCCATTTGTTGGCCGCCGTGTTGGTGCCCGTGCTTTGGCGTTTCGTCATCGCAGAGGAGAAGCCAGAGCCCGCTGAGGGATAATGTGTCGTCACAAAAATATATGGAAAACAATCGAAAGTCAGGTGTATATACCTAGATATATATGCGTAAGTGGTTTGGCGTAAACGTGACATCTATACGAATACAACAGTTTTTTTTAAATCTATTGTATATTTACATGTATTTTACACTGTACTCGATGTATACAAACTTATACAAAATGTTGCATATCAGAAAGTTGACACATAAATTACGCTAAACAATTTGAATATTTAAATAGATAACTATTCCTGGCATCTATGCATCTAATTATCGATATCGATTAGTTAATTTCGATAAGCTCGGATCATCAAAGCTACGTAGCATCGATGCTGATTACAGGGTATAACTTTATTAAACACTATTTTTGTACCATGTACTAATTGAAAGTCCATTAACTCGGGCAATTGCTTGATTTGAGATTATCGATGCACCGATTCCATTAAATCGATAAATTGTTATCGATATCTTGTATTCTATACACAGGAATATTTCAATTAGGGTATGTAACTGTCGGGCATTCC